GGGTTTGACAACACAGGTGTTTCCGGTGGCCAATGCCGGCCCGATCTTCCACGACATCATAAATAGCGGGAAATTCCACTAAAAATAATGAATTTATTTATTAGTAAACTTCGGGAAGACTTTTATTGTAAGCAATTCTTTACGGGAATGATTTGTCCGCAAACGCCCATCGGCTCGGCCCTCGTGAACGCGAATAGGGGTCCGTCCGCTGGGATCACTTTGCCGTGTATTTTGTCGGCCCAACCCGCGTAATACCGGAGCGATGAGATGGCGGCATTCATATCCCAAATCGCGTCGTTGAAAGGCTTTCCGTTGTCCAGAGTCTCAAGACTGCCCAAGTAGTCGATGTCGCGCTCAATCAGATCCGCCAACTTGAATATGAGTCGACCCCTCTGGGAGGCGTCCATCGAGCGCCACACAGAATTCTGGCACCAGGATCAATTAGGTTACAATTATATGAATACAGTACTAGTAGTAAAATGTATGACAAGAATAGGTATACCCTTTTGAAGGCATTCCGGGCGGCGGCCACAGCCTTATCGATGTCTGCTTTGTCCCCCTCCTGTACTTTTGTGATCACTTTGCCAGTGGCCGGGCTGATGGTCTCAAATGTCTTTCCACTCACAGAATTCACGAATTCATTGTTTATGAATAACTAGTGATAGATGAGCGCAAAGATAAGTATAATTTATTTTAATGAGTGTTACATATAAATGTTGAATAAGAAACAAAAGTTGAGAAATGAGAATTTGTATTCAGGATAGTAAATAAGAAAAATAATATATTATGATCCTTGATAACTGTATTAATAATAATAATATTTTATTATGTAAAATAGAGATAACCTTAAATAACAATAATACTGTTATCTCAACACAGGTTTTCTGTCTCAAGTGTTATCATTTATAAACAATAGTTTTAGATATAAGATGTGAAATTGATATAAATTACTGTTAGGTACTCTAGGTTTAATATTATATCACAATAAACTTGCTAGTTTTATTATATACATAGTGAAAATGCATTAACAAAGTAACAATAATAAAGTAAACTGACAAATAATAAAAATAGACAAAGAATAATTATGCACTCGTTTGTAATACAAGAATAAGTTTTATTATACAATACCTGGGTATATTTAATCTCTGGATTTTTAATAACTCCCATTTTGTGTGTAGTTTAGCTTAAAGTAAATTTATTAAATCAAATCAAATTCTGCTTTTAGCAAAAAAACAACTTTTGTTGAAAACAAAGTTACCTCTTATTGAAACTTTAAACACAAAAATATGTTTTTATGGTTTCTTTAAACAGAAAAGTCTTTAGTTCTCAGAACACAGTCAGACCCTCACTGAACAGGACTTGGGATAGGAATGGAAATGTATTGCTGACTACCGTTCCCTAAATATATTGAAGGACATAGTCTTTAT